AAATAGGCGACTTTTAAACTAGCTGAAATGTTCCATTTGAACTGACTTGGCTTTATCTAGCAGTAGTTAATTACTAATGTTTCATTATACTCTAAGCAGAGTTGTGTTAGGATATTAATTATAAAACCAGAATTCCTGCCAAATCAAACTTTCTGCCCAGGTTACAAGTTTTTGGTTAGTCCTTGGTGTCAGTACCAGATCTGTGCTCTGCCAGTGCAGTGCCCTAAACACAAAGCTTATCTCTTGCTCCTTTTTTGAAGTTTCAGTGAGTTTTGAATTCATCTCAGTGAAATGAAGAGCCTCAGTGATACCAATGATGAGGTGTGCCTCCACCTGAAGTTTATGATCTGCTGGCAAGGGTGCAATTTCAGGAGGTAGGAGAGGAGGATGTCCCTTTTCCTGGACAGAGGAAAAGACTGAAATGTGGTCTTTTGAACTCGGAGTAGTTAAGATTCAGATTGCTTTTTTAGAAGCCACGGAAGGCAAAGTTTGGGGAAGTCCTTATTGCCCCTGCCCTCTGTTAAAGCCTCAGCTGCTGTATGCACTGTGCAGAGCTCAGCACATTTGTACCAGGCCGAATGTCTCTGAAGATTGCATCCTAGAATTCACTCTGCTTTGCAATATGGGGATGATGGTTAGTTACACTTTTCTATCTGTGGTTACTGCAGTCAGAAGACACTTGTTGCGTCTTTTGAAGGAACTTCGTTTTATGTGAAGAGTGGAAGAGAGGAGCTGGAGTCCATGGTTGCTCAGTATTTCAGCCTGTCTTCAGGTACTGCTAGGGATTAGTCAGTGAGGTGATCTGTGAGTTGGGCATCTGGGTTTTTTTGGTTTAGTTATGGCTGTGGGTATATTTTTCAAACGTGCATGATGTCTGCAAGTACAAAATGGATGGAAAATATGAAAGCTTTTAAAATGTTTCTGAAGTTTGAACTAAACTTTACCTGGCTTTTACTAGAAATCTATGGCTGTGCTGCATGTTCCAAAATGCATGGCTGAAGTAGCGTGAAGAAATACTTTATTATAAGGAAAGGGAGAAGGGTAAGAATCAGTTTGTCTACTGTGCTGCTTTAATTCCACCTGTTTTGTTGGACTGAAGAGTGGGATTTAACAGACAACCACAAGTGCTTAATGCTGCAGTTAATTAGCTTGTCTCCCTAACCCAACTCTTACCCCATAGTATTTGCATGTTCTCACCTGTTTGCTCCAAATGTGAAATGAAACAAAATGCCTGCCCTACAGGGCGGTTTGTGTGGTGTGTTGTTTTGGGATGTGTATGTCATCAGTTAATGTAGTCTGGCTGAGCAGTGGTTACTCCTTAAACAATCACATCCCTAGAGCCCTGGGCTCAGTATCTGTCTCTAAGTGCTATGAAGCTCGTATGTGCTTCTGCCTTGTTTGTTTGTTTGTTTATTGTAACCGTTTCTACCCTCTGTAATTGGGGGTCTTAAGAAATTCTAGAGTCTCCCTCCTTGGAGAAACTCAAAAGCCATCTGGATGCGGTCCTGGGCAGCTGGCTGGAGGTGGCCCTGCTTGATCAGAGGGTTGGACCAGATGACCTCCGGAGGTCCCTTCAACCTCAACCATTCTATGATCCTATGTGTCTGGCTGGGAAGGATGTACAGGGGAAAAAAATAAAATACAACTATCTGAAGTCTGTTGCTGAAGAAGGGAGGCGAGTGGGAGCTGAAGAAGGAAAAAATCTGTAAAAAGCTAGAACAAAGCATGTGAGGAATTGCAAAGCAGGTGGAGATAGCATATTGGAATGAGCAAAAGATTGGACCTTGCTTTCAGTTCTGCCAATGCCTGGTTTGTCTCTGAACTGTTAACGGTTGGTGGGTGTCACTCGTGATTCAATGAAATAATACTTATGGTGGGAGGGAAAAGCAAGTGTGAAGGGGAACACTTTCCCAACAGTGGCTGTTTTCAGCCCAGAGGATTGTCCAAGGTTGTTGTGGTTTGTCTGCTTACACCACAGAGTGAAGGCCTCTTGCAAGCACTTGGCTCCCCTTGAGTTTGCATAAACCGCTTGCATCTACAACCGTCCATGTTGCTAGGATTTCCCCCTACCTGTTTTACCCAGTGCCGGGAGAACAAACTGTTTGTTCGTTCATTTGTTCTAAACCTGGTTTCCACCCCTGCCACCACCGCCCCCCAGTTTGTGACTCCTACTCACAAGAAAAGATTCTGAGCTGCTGCAAGTTTGTGCAGCTGGTGTGCTGATGGAGAACTGGTGCTGCTGGGGGCACCAGCACAGCTGTGCAGCTGCTTTATGTTTTGATTTGGGTTTTTTTGTAATTTGTTTTGTTGTGGGTTGTTTTTTTTCTTTCCAGTGGCACAGCATAAACTTCAAGAGGCTAAATCTTGAAGTTTGTTGACTAAGTGGATTTCTTTTCTTTTCTGCGTAGTGTCCTTAGTCATCCCACGCATTTATCCTCTCTGTTAATTAGCCTGCTTTCCTCTAGATTGAAAGTCTACAGTAAACAAAGTATTGTTGAGATTGCATCTCTCCGGGAAGGTTTATTCATCTCTTCTCCCTTTGAGAGACCACAGAACATCAATTGGGTTGATCGAGCACTTTAGTAGTAGCGGGGGGAATGTGGTTGAAAGCACGCCTCTCCTTCAGGCACTACTCTACTAAAGCAGCTTTTTAGATTCTCTCCTATAAATGGATACAAGTGGTAGATACTGATTTGGTATAACATACCCATCTGAAATTAAATTATTCTAAAATTAATAACTTAGGACACTTTGTTATGTTGAAACTAAACACACGTTTGTTTTTTCCAGTCTGGACAGCTGATCTACATGATAGTCTTTGGTCTTTTCTGGATCCAGGCTGCAATAGCTGGCAGTGCTTGCACCCTGTCTCTGAGAGCCAAGAGCCTGGGGTAGTTGTCTGCCAGGTCAGGTTTACAGGACAGAAGTGTCGTACTGCACACATCCCAGTAGAAATCAGCCCATGTTACCTGGTGGAAATGGGAGAGAAAGCAGTAAATTTTAGTTGGTAATCTCAAAATCTGGGTCTACTAGTATTCTCAGCAAACTGCTGAAACAAAACATGAATCGATGTGTAAGTTTGTTGATTATTTTTTTTTTAAAGCCTATAATTACAGAGCTAATAATTAGGTTGCAATTCAAGGTTTGACTTAAGTAAAAATTCGTTAAATAAAGCCCTTGCTACAAATATTATTTGCATTATAATATTAATCTTTAAAAACTGGGCTGCAGAATAGTGTTTTAATTTGTTTCCAAACAGTTTTGGGTGAAAAAGGAGATTACATTTTCATAGAGTTTTTTTGATACTGTCTTATAAATTGATCAGCGATTATAAGCAGAGTTCTAAACAACACCCATCTATATTGACGAGTACAAAGGCATTTATAATGTTTTGTATCAACATACTTCTAAAGTGGTTTAGAAAATGCAGAACCTAGTCCTGGTTTGCCTCACTTTTCTAACAGTAGGCAAAACAATTTTTACTTTGCGGTTGAGCCACCAATTATGTATTGGTAAGAACCAAGAGTTAAAAGAGTGAGGAGAGTTGTTTCATGGGCTGGCATGAAATCTGGAAATTCAACAATAGTCCATGACTTTATTTTTCTGGCAACCTGATTGGAATGGCAGAAACAAAAATTATACTTACAGACTTGCCTACCAGCCAGTTCTTATCCCCTAAGAAAGTATCCAAATCTTTCAGTAACTCGGGTGCTTTGTTGGTGAGGATGTCATGAAATGCTTGTTTCTGGGGGAAGAACAAAACACAAAGATACACACCAATGCATAAGCACAGCCGTCAGCAAAATTGAATTTTTGGGAGGTTCTTACTTGTGAAAAAGAAAGATGAAATCTGAAAAAGGTGACAGCGAAATCATTTGGTCTGTGCCAAACTTTAGATATTCTTTTTGGAAAGAGGAATGTGTTAACATCCAAGTCGGGATTAATATGGCAAACAGCAGTTATTTAAGGTAAAGAAAGAAATGCAGAGGTAACTGTCATTTGGATACATGCAAAGGGGCACTACAGAATTTAGGAGAGCTGAGGTAATTACCCCTGAAGTGGGTTAGATGCCCAGGACACGGCATTTAAAGCGATTGTTCCCTTAGTGAACATCTCAGCTCCTGGATGCTGAGACACGATGTGTGGGGCGATGCTGCTCGTTTATCTGTGCTGACACCCACCCAGCCCACAACACGACAGGAGCTCTACCATAGATTTGGGAAGAATCCATCTATAAAACCTATTTCCAATGTCTCACAGTCATTTTTGGGGGACTGTTTGGGATGTTACATTTTCTAGTGTACAAAGTCTCAGATCTCCAGAATCCCTTAAGCTCAGTCTGTCTGAGCTGTCAGTCGGATGCTGGTCGATTCTTTTTCTTTACCAGCCCTTCTCATGTGAGATGTGGAACCTGGGTTTTAAGTTTTTTGCTGGGTTTGTCTTTGATCTGTTATTTTAGCAGGTTATTCTGCTTTTTTGTCTCTGCAGCAAGGAGATTTGAGCTGGTTAAAGTATGTTTTTAAAGGCTGAAGTCTGCATTGAAGGGTATGAGCCTCAGTATTTGTATGTTAATGGATGAAGGATGAGGTTGTGTATGGTGGTGGTTCTCTGCTGGCTGTTCCCTGTAGCAGGAAGTTTTAAGACTGCTTTTAAAGGGTTAGCTGTTTCCTTTGGAGAGAGAAACACTTTCTGGTTTTCTCTTCTCACCTGCATGGAAGCAATTGAGATTGCAAACTGTTGTGATCATCTGGTCTGACCCACGTGGCACAGTTTGTGCAGTTAATGTGCTTGGCCTAATTTTGGAGGAACATACTCAGATGTGGTTAAATAAGCACTGCTGTGCAGGAATGGAATTATTTCAACAGCTTTGAAATTCAAATGAAAAAAAGAATAAAATTTAGAAGAGG